GGGTGTAGGGGCTGGAGGAGGTTACAGAGATAGGGAGGGGGTGTAAAGAGTGGAAGAAACTAAGGTGGGATTGTGAATGCGGTCAATGCCAGTCCACCGGCCATTGTAGACCAGTACTCGGGAGGGGGGTGAGGGTGAAGAGGGCCTGATGTGAGTCTGGGTTCTGGACCGTGGAGGTGTTAGTGACCGGAGTGAGATGGGATCGTGCCAGCTGAAGGTAACAACGATCTGGTCGAGGACTTTCGCAGCTGATGACCAGGGCAGTGTCGCTGGCACTGCGGATACAGGAGTTCCCACCGCTACTCCCAGACCGAATCCCACCGGCTCCAGGGATACCGAGAGTTTGAGGGTTTGGGATTCCGTGGTGTGGCTGTGTCAGATTTTACGCTTGGGGCCTACAGCCAGGCTCCTTTGTAATGGCGAAATTTCCTCAGATATTGAATCCTTGCCTGTTGATGGCTGGACTGTGCAGCAGTCTGCATGACCCAGGGTCAGAATGGCACACAACGCGGTTATATTTATCGCATTAATGAAGACTCATCGACTGTATTTGTCTTTGTAACTGGGCGGTGCCACTAAACGGCTCTCCCTAATTATCGCTGTTGCGTACTGATTGCAGGAAGGCCTAGGGCTGGGACACCACTTGCTCATCCGCCTTTAAGTACACCCTTTGCAAATAACCTTTTCTTCTTTTTATTTATAAAATGATTATAAACTGTCAGAAGAAAAGATGAATTGTCTCCTGCCTCTTAGTGGCTGAACACGGTCTCCAGGAGGGAGTGATGGGAGTAGGCCTTAGGCTTTGTAGTGTTTGCTCCCTCAGCCCGCTCCCTTTCCGGATACAGTTCCATCCTCCCCCCGAACCCCGTTTTTAAAAATAAATTCTCATCTTCAAATCACCCTCGGGGCTGGAGTAAGCTATTTGGCCCCTCGGGCCTGCGCGCCACTATGCTGTAATCTAATCTGATTGTGGTGTTAGCTACATTTCCCTGTCTGCTCGACCCCGTCATCACGCCCCACCACCACCACCTCCCTCACCGTAACCATGGAATCTAAGGCCCCCAACTCCCCAGAGTATCTTCATTGATCTAGTCTCCACCACCCTCTGGGGGACAGCGTTTTGCAGACTCATGATCTCCTGACAGAGGAGAAAAGTTTGTTCAAAAAGATTGTCCGTCTCAAAAGGGAGATCTCTTTGTCTTAAAACTGCGTCTCCCAGTGCTAGTTGTTCGTGTAGGGAGTCTCACGACCTTACTACCTGTGGGTAGCGTTCAGGTTGAGGCACTTCATGTAGTTTAATTTAAAATGGAGGTGTTTCTAGGCCGGGACAGGGCTGAGAAAGGTGGTACTCCAAGGCCTGAGGCCTACGCTGCCCAGAGTCTTCACTGCCTCCTCCCTGAAGACCATGTTTAGTTGCTCATGGGTGTTTGCCCGTTATTGCCGTAAAAAAAGAGAATTCGCCTTCTCGCATGAGGGCCAGGGCTCAATGGGATGTACAACAAGATCCCACACCAACGATGAAAGAGGAAAGGTGCATTTCTATAGCGCCGCTCACAATCATGGGTCACCCCAAAATGCACTGGCGGACTGATTTCTCAGATGGTGGGGCTAATATCTGTTAATCGGTTAGGGTTATATCCACTGGACTGGGGGAGTCCAGGGATAGGAATGAGTGGGTAATGGCACAGAAATCTATAATATTCTAACAGGACTTTTTATTCATTCACAGGATTTATCGCCCACCTATAATTTCCCAGAGGGCAGTTAAGAGTCAACCACATTGCTGTGGGTCTGGAGTCACACATAGGCCAGACCAGGTAAGGATGGCAGATTTCCTTCCCTAAAGGGCATTAGTGAACCAGACGGGTTTTTCCCGACAATCAGCAATGGATTCACGGTCATCATCAGATTCTTAATTCCAGACATTTATTGAATTCAAATTCCACCATCTGCCGTGGTCAGGATTCGAACCCAGGTCCCCAGAATGGTTCCTGGGTCTTTGGGTTAACAGTCCAGTGATAATACCACTAGACCATCACCTCCCCAAGACATGACAGATGTAGGAAGGATGTTCCCAATGACTGGGGAGTCCAGAACCAGGGGGGGTCACAGTCTAAGAACATGGGGTAGGCCTGAGATGAAGAGAAATCTCTTCACCCAGAGAGTGGGGGATCCTTCGGAACTCTCTGCCACAGAAAGCGATTGAGGTCAAAACATTGCTTATTCTCAAGAAGGAGTTTGATATTTGGCTCGATTTGACACAGAGTCATACAGGATGGAATCAGACCCTTCGGCCCAACCAGTCCATGCCGACCATGCGTCCAAACTAAGCTAGTCCGACCTGCCTGCTCCTGGCCCATATCCCTCCAAACCGTTCCTATTCATGTACTTATCCAAATGTCTTTTAAACATTGTAATTGTACCAATTTTGATTTATTATCCTCACACGTGCTGAGATACAGTGTTGTTTTGCGCGCTATTCAGACAAATCATACCTTACATCAGCGCATCAGGGTAATAGAACAGAATGAGAATATAGTGTTACAGCTACAGAGAAGGTGCAGAGAAAGATCACCTCTAATATATGGGAGGTCCCTTCATAAGTCTGATAACAGCTGGGAAGAAGCCGTTCTTCTTTCAAACTCTTGTATCTTCTGCCCACTGGAAGAGGGTCTAAGATATAATTCTCAGGGCTAAAGGGGTCACAGGGTATGGGGAGGGTGGTGGTGGGGTGAGGAAGTGAGAATAGGGAACTGAGTTGGACGGTCAGCCATGAACATGTTCAATGGGTGGAGCAGGCTCGAGGGGCTGAATGGCCTTCCCTGTTTTTCTGCCGACTTTCCAGTCGCTGTTGGAAACACAGCAGCCGGGTTACGCACAGCATGATCCCACAAACACCGCCAGATCCATCAGCCAGGAGAAGCTGCCCACGTCTATGGGTGCCCCTTTCATTTCCCTGACAGGGCAGGAGACTCTGTGAGTCAGTTGGTAGGCAAGCAGCCATGTCGGAAATAGAGTCATATGAATCCGCACCGTGTGGAAACAAGCCATTCGGCCCATCCAGTCTGCAGTAGCTCTCCAAAGAGAGCATTCCAACCCCACCAATCCTATAGCCCTACATTTCCCATGGCCAATCCACCCTAACCTGCACATCCCTGGGCACTATGGGTAATTTAGCATGGCCAATCCACCCTAACCCGCACATCCCTGGGCACTATGGGTAATTTAGCACGGCCAATCCACCCTAACCCGCACATCGCTGGGCACTATGGGTAATTTAGCATGGCCAATCCACCCTAACCTGCACATCCCTGGGCACTATGGGTAATTTAGCATGGCCAATCTGTTGTAACCTGCACATTTTGGACTGTGGGAGGAAACCAGAGCACCTGGAGGGAACCCACGCTAACACAGGGAGAATGTGCAAACTCCACACGCAGTTGCCCGAGGCTGGAATCGAACCCGGGTCCCTGGCGCTGTGAGGCAGCAGCGCTAACCACTGAGCCCACCGTGCCGCCCAAAATATCCGGTAAAAGTTCTCTGCTTCCTCGCACCTCACCCCAGTAGCCTGCAGGCTGCAGGAAGGGTACCTGAGTTTGTCTTCACCTCCCAGTGTTTAACAGTTAGAGTCTGCCACTAATGAAACACTGTCTTGTTGCTTCCAGAATCCTGTAATCACTGGATCAGAGATCAAAGGGGTAGCGGGGCCCCAGGTCTCACACAATTCGGGAGAGCGAGAGAAGGAAAACAGAAATCAAGGGACGAGAGGGTGCTGCGGGGAGGGGAGACAGAGCAGTAAACGGAGACAAATTAAAGAGAGAGAGAGAGAGAGAGGGTTGAGAGTCTGGTGTAAATACTCCCTCTCTGGGACACAAGTCTTTACTTCCAACTAGTCCGCAATAAGGAATTGGACACAGGATGAGGCCATTCAGTCTGACATGCCTGTACTTAACACGTTGAAACATCAGCTCGTTGGTTGGCACTTTCACATCTAGTGCCAAGATTCCCTAAACCCAGTGAGTTGACACCATGCCAGCTGAGCCATTGGACTACAGCATGTGAAGTGACATAAAATAAACACAAGTAACGCCTTAAGATATTCCATGGGCATCAGTATTCATCCTTAAGATTCTCCCGAACTTAACGTTAAACCTTAGTGCGTGTAAAATCCATTAAACTCTGTATTTTAAACAGCACACAGTTTTTTTTTATTTGCTGTTGGGATTTGGGAATTGCTGGCTGGGCCCAGCATTTATTGCCCTGTACCTAGTTGCCCCCCTTGAGAAGGTGGGGGTGAGCTGCCTTCTTGAGCCGCTGCAGTCCCCATGTGCTGTGGGTTGACCCACAATGCCCTTAGGGAGGGAATTCCAGGATTTTGACCCAGCGACACTGACGGATCGGCGATATATTTCCAAGTCAGGATGGGGAGTGGAGAGGAACTTGCAGGGGGCTGGTGTTCCCATGTATCTGCTGCCCCTTGTCCTTCTAGATGGAAGTGGTCGTGGGTTTGGAAGGTGCTGCCTGAGGATCTTTGGTGAATCTCTGCAGCGCATCTTGTAGATGGTACACACTGCTGCGACTGAGCGTCGGTGGGGGAGGGAGTGGGATGTTTGTGGATGTGGTGCCAAGCGAGCGGGGGCTGCTTTGTCCTGGATGGTGTCGAGCTTCTTGAGTGTTGTTGGAGCTGCCCCCATCCAGGGGCAAGTGGGGAGTATTCCATCCCACTCCTGACTTGTGCCTTGTCGATGGTGGGACAGGCTTTGGGGGGAGTCAGGAGGGGAGTTACTCACTGCAGGATTCCCAGCCTCTGACCTGCTCTTGTAGCCGCTGTGTTAATGTGGTGGGTCCAGTTGAGTTTCTGGTCAATGGTAACCCCAACCCGTTGATAGTGGAACAGTTGGTGATGTTAACACTATTGCATATCAAGGGACAGTGGTTACCCAGCTGAACTGTAGTAACCAACGTGAATTAACAGGCAAGTACTTGTCACTGTTTCACTCAAGCGAGTTAGTGGTTGGAAGGTGAGGATGCTCTGTGTGGGTTTCTGAAGCATGGGGTAAATATTAAAGTCATTCTCTCTCACTGTCCTCATGCACTCTTTAGAGACGAATGTTCTTTGTAACCCACCAGGGATTCGGATTAACCTGGCAGGAATCAGAGCGGGGCCTGGGTTTCAGACCCTGAAAAGGAAACTGTAACATTTACTTACATTTCTCATGGATTCACCCAGCTGGGAACAGGCCATTTGGCTCATCCAGCCCTGTGCTAGCTCTTTGAAAGATCTCTCCAATTAGTCTCACTCACCTCCCCCCATCAAGCCCCTTTTCCTGACCCTCTTCAATCTGTGTCCCTCTGGTGACTGACCCACCTGCCCCTGGGGGACAGTGTCTCCGTCGTCGACTCGATCGAAAGCCCCCACCCGGTGATTCTGAATGGGTACCTGTCTGCTGACTCACTATGGTTATGCACAGCTCACATCCTTACTCCCCGCAAAGTCTGTCCCACCATCGACAAGGCGCAAGTCAGGAGTGGGATGGGATACTCCCCACTTGCCCTGGATGGGGGCAGCCCCAACAACACTCACAGTGGCTCAGTGGTTAGCGCTGCTGCCTCACAGCACCAGGGACCCAGGTTCGATTCCAGCCTCAGGCGACTGTCTGTGGAGTTTGCACATTCTCTCCTGTGTCTGCGTGGTTTCCTCCGGGTGCTCCGGTTTCCTCCTGCAGTCCAAAGATGTGCAGGCTAGGGTGGATTAGCCGTGCTAAATTACCCATAGTGCCCAGGGATGTGCAGGTTAGGGTGGATTGGCCATGCTAAATTACCCATAGTGCCCAGGGATGTGTAGGTTAGGGTGGATTGGCCATGCTAAATTACCCATAGTGCCCAGGGATGTGCAGTTTAGGGTGGATTGGCCGTGCTAAATTACCCATAGTGCCCAGGGATGTGTAGGTTAGGGTGGATTGGCCGTGCTAAATTACCCATAGTGCCCAGGGATGTGTAGGTTAGGGTGGATTGGCCGTGCTAAATTACCCATAGTGCCCAGGGATGTGTAGGTTAGGGTGGATTGGCCGTGCTAAATTACCCATAGTGCCCAGGGATGTGTAGGTTAGGGTGGATTGGCCGTGCTAAATTACCCATAGTGCCCAGGGATGTGTAGGTTAGGGTGGATTGGCCGTGTTAAATTACCCATAGTGCCCAGGGATGTGTAGGTTAGGGTGGATTGGCCATGTTAAATTACCCATAGTGCCCAGGGATGTGTAGGTTAGGGTGGATTGGCCGTGCTAAATTACCCATAGTGCCAAGGGATGTGCAGGTTAGGGTGGATTGGCCATGTTAAATTACCCATAGTGCCCAGGGATGTGTAGGTTAGGGTGGATTGGCCATACTAAATTGCCCCATTGCGTTCAGGGATGTGTAGATTAGGTGGGTTATAGGGGGATGGGTCTGGGTCTGGGTCTGGGTGGGATGTTCTGAGAGTCAGTGTGGACATGTTGGGCCAAAGGGCCTGTTTCCACACTGTAGGGATTCTATGAACAGTGCAATCTTTCCCCTTAACTTTCCTCACTCTGAGGGGGATGATTCCAGCTTCTCCAAGTCTCCCTGGCTCCATAGTGTGTACCATCTACAAGATGCGCTGCAGAAATTCACCGAAGATCCTCAGGCAGCACCTTCCAAACCCACGACCACTTCCATCTAGAAGGACAAGTGGCAGCGGATACATGGGAACACCACCCCCTGGTGTGTTCCCCTCCGAGCCTCTCCCCATTCTAACTTGGAAATATATCGCCGTTCCTTCAGTGTCGCTGGGTCAGAATCCTGGAATTCCCTCCCTAAGGGGCATTGTGGGTCAACCCACAGCACATGGGGACTGTAGTAGTTCAAGAAGGCAGCTCACCCCCACCTTCTCAAGGGAGCAACTAGGGACAGGGACAATAAATGCTGGGCCCAGCCAACGACGCCCACATTCCCACAAATGAATAGAGGAAAAAAAATTCCACCAAATCTCGTCCACGCCCTCTTTCAGTCCAGACGTCTTTTTAAAAAAAGTGTTTGGGGCCCGAGATTAAGTGCATTGCCCTGTCATGTCCAGTGTTGTGCAGGCCAGGTTTGGGAGTTAGCCAATGGGAAAAACCTCAAGCAGGATTATGGGAATGGGCTGGGTCTGCGTGGGATGCTCTTCAGAGGGTCGGTGCCAAGTCAATGGGCTCAATGGCCTCTTTCTTCATGGTGGGGATTCCATGAATCTATGAAATTGGGACACAGCGGTGGCCTAACCAGTCATTCCGAAGTATTTTGTCAATACACCCTTGATTTTGCAAGTTACGCATCTCGTTATATAATTATGGTTTGGTCATAATCTGCCTTACTATCTTCAAAGATCTGAATCCAAATGTTCCAAGCTCTCCCTCTCTGTTCCTGCAGTCCCTTCATTATCCTTTATTTTGTTCATTCACGGGATGAGGTGTTGCTGACCAGGCAGCATTTATTGCCCATCCCTAA